TTTCAGGCCCCTCTCTGTGGAACAATCTCCCAGGTTGGATTCAGAAGACAGACACCCTGTCTACTTTTAAGATTAGGCTTGAAAATTTCCTTTTTGATAAAGCTTATACTTAGGTCTGGATCAGGCGACCCTGAATCCTCCATTAGTCAGACTGCAATAGACCTAGACTGCTGAGGGGCTTTAACTCACTATGCTTTTACACATAGTTTACACCTCTCTGCATTTATTCATTAGTTATGATTAATCTCTGGCTCTCTTCTCTTTTGTCCTGTCTTCCTCTCCTCACCCCCAACCAGTCAGGGCCCCTCCCTGAGCCTGGTTGTGCCAGAGGTCTCTTCCTGTTAAAAGGTGTTTTATTCTGTTTTTCTTTTCTTCCCACTCTCATCAAATACTTGCTCATAGGACGTTGTCTGATCTTTGGGGTTTTCTCTCTGTTATTGTAGGGTCTTTTCCTTACAATATAAAGCACTGCAAAGCACTATTTTTCTGTTTTGCTCCTATATAAATGTCATTGAACTGAAATTTAATTGACACATTTGACTTTAATGGAGTAACTGTTGAAGCCTCAGACAAGTACAATTGTCCAATAATAATAATAACAATAGTAATTTTTAAGAAAACTAAATTCAACTACATGATTGTATTGTGATGTCACCCATTTTGAAAGGTTGTACATTAAAGTGCTTCCACTTTGCTGCATCAATAATACTCCAGTCATATGTAAACTGTACTAATTACACTTCACTTATAATATATTCTCTGTACTGTACATGGCATTGTTTTAACTTTGTGATATTTCATTTTAATTAATAACATTGCACTTGGAGTGCTGTAGTTTTACTTCATTTTTATAAATGTAGTTTACATTTTCTGAAGCCATTTTTCTGCTGTATTGCATTTTTCTCATATTACTTCTTTATTTTTGTCTTTAAATGCAGCACGTTTAATTAGAACAGATTTTCTTTTAAAACTTTAATATACTGGCACTTTTACTTAAGTTTTAGTATTACTCTTTATTCATCCCTGAATGTAATTTTTACAGTACTGCAATCACACCTCTTTCACAGCATTCATTTAAAAAATTCAATTCAGTTTCAACTCAGGTTTATTTATATAGCAACAAATCACTACAACAGCCACCTCAAGACACTTTAGACTGTAAAGTTGTATTTAATCCACTTTTACTTAAGGTTCTTACTGAAGCCTTAAGGTGTTTGGCCTGCTTTGATGCTGGAGTTTAGTGGAAGAAAGAAAACAAAAGAGAAAAGTTCCACCAAGGTGATTATTTTTATATCCCCACTGCAGACTGCTGCAATCACTTAACCATTTTCGTTTTCCATCCCCCCAGGGAGTGTTATTTGTGAAGCCTGCAGTCTGGCTGCAGAAGGAGAGATTGACATCCAGGAAAACTTCTGCCACAGTCCATATGGTGAGAACAAAGTGTTATAGATAACGTGGGCTCCAAATGCATCCTTTTCTTTTGTAGCATGCAATTTCTCTTGCAAAAACAGGACAGCTTATCTAGTCTCAGAGACTGGTTGATTTACAACGTGCATGAAGCGACACCTGTTGAATAGTGTTCTCCGTGTCTCTGTCGTAGCATTTAAGATGCGTCTGGGCAGCATGATGACAGTGGGGGGTGACCTTCAGCTGGTGCCTACGGCCCGCAGTCGCATCCTGAGATGGGCGGGGGGAGGGGCTGAGAAAGCAGAAGGAGTCGGAGGCGCCATGGCTCACAGCGCTTTGTGGCTCCAAGAAGGGGGCGCGTGTACCTGTCCTGGTTTAGACTCTGCAGAGAGTGACGAGAATGAGGAGAAAAGTCAAGAGGAGGTGCAGATGGATAAGAAACTGACAAAAAGAGGAAAAAAGGTGGGGAAAGGTGGATGGTACCTTTCCCTTGCTCAGGCTGAAGAGGGAAGACTGGTGCTGACTCGACTGGTGAGGTGGAGCAGAGGGGACAAAGAGCTGAAGAAGTTCATCCGAGCTCTCCTCAAGCAGCCGTGTGCAGAGCTTTAAACAGCGAGTCATCCACATCTGTTTCTGCCCTGCAGATGATGCTTTCATTGTGCTGCGTGAATACCAGCGCTTTGCAGTAATGTACACAAAGTCCAGCGAAGGAGCCAGCTGCTAACTGGTGAACAGCTGATAGTTCAGACAGTTTCAGATAGCTACGTTAAAAAAATAGTAAAATTTTTATTAAACCACAGCATCATCTTGATTTGTTACAAAATGTATCCTTGCATTATTATTGTCACTGAGTTTCCTCCATTAAAACAGAGCATTATTTTTTACCAAAATGAGAAGCCAGAGACTTTACAAACTTTCATCACCTCATCAACAAAGATAAGAGAGCTGGTGTTTGTGTACACTACTGAACCACCCAAAATCATACCGGCAGGAACATTGCATTATATTTTTATATATATATTTTTTGTACATAAATGAGTTACATTTTGTCTCCTTTATCAAATTATTCACTGAATTAAGAGATCTTTTTGTAATGATTGCTGTGGTGGAGACCGATCTCCCCTCTCTGTGGTGGCATGTCCATGCACACACAAGCAATATATTTATCTGTTTGCTTCAATTTATTTTTTTAATCTTGTATTTTACTTGATACATCAATAAGGTTTTTCTTGATCCTCCATCATGACTTAGTAAAGAAAGAAATTGGACTCCGCACAGAGACGCACACCTGTTGACGTTAACTTGAGATATCAAATGTCAGTTTCACACTGCCCTTGTTTCTCCTGTTGCTCGTTTTATTTGTATTTTATTTTTTTTAAATATACTGGTTTCTTCACGTCACATGAAAAATGGCAACACCTGATGTTAAACAGTTGTAGTTTTTTTCTGTTAAATGGGAATATTTATAGGATATATATATATACTGTCATGCACGTGATACATAAATTATTCACAGCCTTGTGTCTCTGAGCTTCTCTTAAACACACACGCTCTTCTCCCTGTGTTTCTGCACCTGCCTCAGCTCAAGTGCCACCTTTCAAAGTCTACCCTGCTTTTTATTAAACAGGTAAGTTTGTCTTTTCTTTCCGAGTAACATCGATTCTGTTCATTGTGATGCAGAAAGTCTGTGGAGTCTACACTTATGTGGGGCAGTAGAAACATCTAGAGCGGCACAGCACTTTCTTTCACATTTAGCACGAGACTATGGTGGCTACACCGGTTTCTGTGCAGATGTCATTTTGCATACATGAGTATTAGAAGTTCATTCAGCTCAGAAATGTTTTGCGATTACAAATAAAGATCACAGTGTTTTAATTATTAACAGTTTCCTGTGGATGTACATTTATTTCTTTGCTGTAAAGAAATAATGATTATATGAAAATTGTGGCTTTTCTGCGTCCTTGTTGTCCTTACTTACAGCTTAGGTCACATTTAAAAGCTAAACCAGACTACGTTACTGAAAAATGTACAACAGAGACACACTTTGGGAAATTTTTCTTAATCCAGTGCAGTATTACCTTCTGTTGTTGTTTTGCATGCCAGTACATCATAGTTTAAGCACATAGTGCATAAACAGAATAGGTAAG